AAATATTTGACCTAGCATGTGTAATTCAAGAACTAAAGAAATACATAGCTAGGGTTCTAAAATTCATGCGAGAAGCTCAGCAATAACATGATAATTTGATTTGGAACATTTAAATAACTAATTCATGATGATCTGTTGTAATTCTAGAAACCCTAGGTCTGTTCATAATCATGGAATCAAGAATCTGACTGAATTCTAGGGACCTAATGGGTGAAAGGAACCCACTAGTGAAATCCCACATACCTGGTGACGAATTCCACGGAGAAATCTTTCAATTTCGAGGCTGGAACTGATGGAACCTTGTAGGGTTCTTGAACTAGGGTTCTTGACCTTTTTCTCCTCTCTTGCTTCTAATTTTCTAAGTTTTGATTAATGATTTGACTTAGGTAAGTTCTAGTTATGTTTCTAGGCTTAAACTGACTAAAACCTTATGATTTAGGGTTTAAACGACGTATCTTAGGGGTTAAACGAAAGAGGAAAAGACCAAAAGACCCTTGAATTAACTGCTGTCGGACCAATCGACGAACTGGACTGACGGGCCGTAGTTCAATAGACGGACCGTCGATTGGGTCCGTAAGTCGAGTCTGCCCGACAGGGCTTCACTAAAACGAGCATAACTTTTTACTCGGAGGTCAGAATTTAGCAAACTCAGTGGCGTTGGAGAGATAATTCAATTATCTATCTAACCATAGGTAATGGGACACATAATTCATTTTGTGCTAAGAGTTATGACCATCTGAAGTTGACTTAACCACAATTTTCATCTAACTGGTTGCTTGACCCTCATCTACGGTCAGACCTACGGACCGTGGATCGAATGACGGTCCGTACTGGTTGACCGTAGTTTGTTTCAAAGGCTAGGTAAGGGAAGTCTCGATCCACGGACTCAGACCACGGACCGTGGTCTGATCTACGGACCGTAGGTCTGTCCGTGAGTCGGGACTTAGCCAATTTTTCTGAGCTGATTTGGGGAGGGTTGCAGTGGTGAACCACGGACCACCAGCACGGGCCGTGGTCTGACCTACGGTCCATGGATGGTGACCGTAAGTCGCACCTGCAACTTCTAAAAATCTGCAATTTGGTCTGTTTCGAATACGGGGTGTTACACTAATATTATGCTTTGAAGAGGACTCAAACTTGCATGCTCTTATAGTACGAGTTGTCACATGTAGTTTTTAAGAATTTTCTTTAACGGAACTTTTAGTACTCCTTGAGCTAATTCGTTATTGTTTTCCTACAAAGTCTACATCAAATGCCTCAAAATAGTTCAACCAATAGATATGGGATCACTCTATGCTGCAATGGAATTCATTGTATTTTAGGAGTAGGATGTCACTTTGTTAATGCAAACTTGAGTAGCGATGAAAATCTACTTTGAACACAACTCCTTCTCCATAGCGCACCAGCTCGAGTGGATTTTCCACATCCAAAACTCTATCTAGCTAGATATTTAGAAAATTTATTTGGAACTGGAAGGTATTTGGGGTGGTATGATATGTCATACCAGGAAGGTTTGGAATTTAGAGGAGTCAATGTAAATACAGACACAGATTAAGCAGTTTGTGTCCGATTTCTGTTTATCAGTCGAATTTATTTCTACAAGCCATAGACAAATGAAAACATAATCTGATTTGAGTCTCAAGGAAGAAAAGTCATGTCTTTATTCATAGGATAACAAACACTTTATGGAAACATCACAAACTATGAAAGATAAAGGCTTTTATCTGCATCATCAGCAACTGATCAGTAGACTTGAATCCTGCAATTTTCAAAAATAAAGAATTAAACTTACACACTAATAAATCGATATATAAGAAGTAGTCTTTTGAAGGATAAAGATCAAGTTGAATACCTGCAGGTCAGTGCACACTAATATCTTTTCTTGTGCCTTTTCATTCTCGTACTAATTTTGTGTTCCAATTTTAAATCCATCCTCCAAAACCATGTTGGATATTGAGTTGACCACATTATGTATATTACAGATAGTCCAATAACAAGTCCACAACCGTAACCCATGAGAACTGCGTGCCAACTGATCATTGGTGAATCTTCTTCTTCTTGGTCTAGCTCAACTGGAATTGTCGCTTGTGGTACCCTATCATCACCGCCACAATCTCTTGAGGGTGGTAATCCTCGTAATCCATCATTTCCTTGGTATGAATTGTTCTCAAATGTATTAAATTGGTTTCCTTTGGGGATGCATCCAACAAGATGATTGTGAGAGAGATTTAAGACTTCAAGTGACGTAAGGGACACAAATTGTTGTGATATTTCACCGCCTATTTTGTTGGATGAAAGATCCAATGATTCAAGTACAGATAAATGTTGCAGTGATTCTGGTATGTGACCTTCCAAGACATTATGAGATAAGTTCAACGTACGAAGTCCAGCGAGATCTCCAATAATGTTTGGAATACAACCTTCAAATCTATTCCTTGAGAGATCGATAATTATTTGTGTAGTCAAAACTCGAGGAAGTTCATGATCCAGTCCCTTCGTTGTCACTATCAAAGAATTTTTATAATAATAAGAATATATATCTGCTACATACTTTGGGGTTCCACTGTTCTCACCATTTTTTTTCATGGCTTGAAAATTCTGAAACAAGTTCACTGGTAGATCTCCACTAAATCCGTTGGATGAGAGATCTATGACTCGAATTTGAGCAAACAAGTTGTCAGTCCTTATAGGGCCATAGAACTTATTTGATCTCAACTTTAAGATCTGCAAATGAGGTAGCTCTCCCAACCATTTTGGAAACGTGTCATTCAACTCATTGTTACTTAAATCTAGAAATTCCAATTTTTCACAATTGATCAAAGATGATGGAACTTTCCCCTGTAGTTTATTGTCATTCAATTTACTGATGTTGAATTGGTTTTCAATAGTAAAAGTTGGATTAATTGTCCCACTAAGACCATTGTTGCTTAAATCCAAAATCCGAACTGTACTCATCTCACCCAAACATTGTGGAATTGTTCCCTCCAAATTATTACTTTTCAAATCTAGTAGCAACAATGTTTTCATATTGCAGATAGCTGAATCAATCTGTCCACTGATATTATTGTGTGAAAGGAGAAGAACTCGTAGGCTCTGCTGGTTTAGGAGTGACTTTGGAATAGGACCTTCCAGCTTATTTTCTTTTAGAGTAACGAAATATAATGTTTTGGACTTGAACTCCTGAATTTTTCCGCTGAAAGTGTTATTGCTCAATTCTAAATTTGTTAGTGAAGGAAGGGAGAATATCCAGGAAGGTATAGTCCCATTCAAGTAGTTTGATGACAAGAAGAGTGATTGTAGATTTCGCTGTCCGCTTACGTTGGATGGAATTGGACCAGTTAGGGAATTGGATGGCAAATCTAGCCATTCAAGTTGCATCCAGCTTCTGTTAAAGAATAAGAACTCAAGTCGGCCATCAAAGTTGTTATTTCCAAGTGATAACGTCTTGAGCTTTTCAAATATCGAGAACTGGGAAATTGTTCCTTCAAGACGGTTAGTATCAAGGTACAAAATCTCTATGTTGGTGAGATTCCATAGAGGTTTAGGAATGGACCCTGACAGATTAGTATTACCCATGTCCAACTCATGAAGTGAAGTTAGATGGCTAAATGATTCAGGTATCCTACTAGTAATATTCACCCCTAAGAGATATAACTTCATGAGTGATGCACTGCTATTCCATTTGGTTGTGGGAAACCTAACACTGAGCTGGGGATTGGATGATAAATGAAGGAATTCTAAGTTGGAAAGGTGGAATACTCTTTCGGGCAATACCCCACGTAACTGTGTGTATGGAAGCCGTAGAACTGTTAAATAAGAAGAGAAATTTAGAGGAATGGTGGAGGAGATGTTCACAGAGTCAAGTTTGAGCTCTCTTAATTGGGTCAAGTTCTTAAGGAGCAATTCAAAATTGTGAGGCCCAAGTCTAAGCCCATATGGATCAACAGCCGTGATACGAAGAACGTTTAAATTGGTTAGATAAGATATTTCAGAAGGGATTTGACCTGAAAAACTTGAAACTGATAGATCAAGATGTGTTAAACTGGAGAAGTCACCAAATTTAGGTGAAATGAGTGATCCAGTGAAATTATTAAAAGACAAATCAATCCTTTTGAGATTGGAAAGTTGAAAGAGGCTACAATTGGAATGAAACTTGCCTTGAAGTCCGCTGCAAGTGAGGTTGAGCTCAATCACCTGTCCCGTCATCTTGTCACAATGTACTCCATCCCATGAGCAACAATCTGTGCTCCTATTCCATGTAAGAGTTTTCGGATATGAATGAAACTCTTTCCATTCAAAACAATAATCAGAAGCATTAGGATTAATGGGAAACATGTTCTTGAATTGTAGAAGAGCAAGAGCTTGATCTTCGGGACACAAATGAGGTAAGGATGAGGAGAAAACAAGTTGACCAAGAAAGGTATATAGCATAAAGAATACAAGTTTTACACAATCCATTTCTGCACTAAAAATGATCAAAACTAATTAAGTTGGTAGAGAAGAAATCAAGAAATGTTTTGCTTTGTGTGTCTATTCAACAATTTTGATGAGGTATATATAACACAAATTAAGCAAAGAAAATTTTACTATTGGTTACGTAGTCATTTTCAGTCAATTTGAAGTTGTGAATCACATATACCCATTCAATGTGTCACACAATTGAATGCCGGAAACTATCAATAGTTCACATTCTTAAGTCAAAGCACAAAGTCCCATCACTTGTATATAACACATTACACATGCATTTTGTGTGCAACGTTATTATAGACAAAAAAAATATCTTTGTTTTGCCAACCTAACTGGATTCCAGGAATAGGACCACCACACAACAAAATTGTTTAGGATAAGAGTATTACTTGGTGTGTAAACTTTGAAAGAAACATAACAACTCTATACCTTAAGAATAGGAGAGTCACTTTGCTAATGCATTAAGGTTAGACTGGAAATCTACTCTGAATAAGCGCCTACATAGTGCACCAGCTCGAGCCAATTTTCCACAAGAATTGACCTGCTGATGGAAGACAGTGCAGGAGTCCATACATAGCATGTTCTTCATAGATTCACCACTGATTCATTAAGTCCAACTAGATTAAACTTGTTTTCTCTATCTTCCTGGAACTTATAGGTGAGTGTGAAACTGTTGTTCTTGTCCTCTCGGAGAGTAGAACGGAAGAAACACGTTGTTATAGTCCTCAATTTCAGTGATGGATAGTATAGTGTGTACGGAGACCTGAGAGGTTGTTTGTAATAGATTCTTGACTCAAAGAAAGATGCAAAAGAAGGAAGTAGCAACAAGCAGAAAATACAACAAGATAATACAGCAATCAAGGCTAAAGAAACAACAAGTAATAATAAAAATCTAAGATGAAAATAAAGTTTGTAGTTGGAGAGAAACTGTTTGCTTTTGAAGGCCAAATATTTGTATCCTGGAGAATAATAGACATTAATCAGAAGCAAATATACTCCCCATACTCCTATGTGCAGTAAGTTTAAGGCAAATAAATTTTACGACTTTACTGTTACAACTTTTAAAGTTTAGTGATCATTTTTGAAATAGATCCTATTTGTATAATATATTGTTTTCAAATACATCGATTTTAAATTAAAAAATATGAAGAATTTCACGACCATATTGACCTGACCATAGCAAGAAAGAATGCTTTCCATTTTCTTTGTAAGTTACGAAACTTTTGAGATGGCACAAGCATTTTCTTTGTAAGTGACAAAACTTTTCGTACCCTTAATTGATTTCGAGCATAAGCTCAACAATGCGTATTTCCTACAATTTGTTGTGACAGAACTTATTCTTTTACCTGGTTCTAATGGCTCAAAACAGTCCTCCCAATGGTTCTAATACATCTTTTAACAAATTAATAATAAGCCATTTTCGTTCATTCAGTTTGTTACAAAGAAAATTAATAGTTCCAAGTTGAAGGCCATTTTAAAATTTTCGAGGTAAATTCAGATATCAACTTGTTTTACTCTTCAAGCTTTTCGAGATTATCCTTCTGAGACCATGAGGCCGTGTTGGTTACTAGATTTTCTGATATCTTCATTTTGGTTCCCTTAACAACCCTGCCCTCACCCCCACAGAACTTTCCCTTTCTATTACAAAACAAAAAACGAAGAAGAAAATAAAGAATTACTTTATGTTAGTAAGGTAGTTGACAGTGAATCACTTTTCTTTGCAGCAACCTTGTCTTGCCATAATTTATGAGAATTTATCTAATTTGGAACCAACAACGTTTACAACTCGCACTTATATTCATAGCTTTAGTTGCATTTAAAATGTTGGCTTCCATGTAGCTTCAGTTGTTAATTTTGATACTCTTGTTCAGAATTGTTAAGCAAATATACTCTGCTATAATTGATCGATAAAATCATACTATTGTCGAATGCATCCTCCTATCCTAACACAATATTTATGTTATAATAGAATTTTTTGTGTACATATATGCAGGCATGGATTCACGAGTGGTGGTAATTTCACTTATTATCTAGTGAGCACATGTTAATGATATTTCATCCATTCTTTTGTAAATATGGTGAGCTGATCAAATTTTCTAGCAGCTAGGCTTCTTGTATTATTGTGATAAATTAGTTAAATCTAGCATAGGTGAAAATGCTCTATACAATGGAGTTTATTGGCTTTGGTTTTGTACAGACATACATTTGAATTCCTATACCTTTTGCTAAAAAATAGAATGTTTGTTGCCTTATTGACAAAGGCTTTAATTTGTCATTAAAAATATTCATTTGTTTGGTTCTTTACTCTCTTTTTTCTTGGTATATATTCTCAACATGTATAATGTTGGTTTTCTAACTCGAGAGATTTTTTCTCTTGCTAGGGTGTTAATTTGAGGTGGTAATCTATCACTATAATTTATCGAACACTAGGCGGAAAATTGTAAGAAAAATCATCACTGTTATTTATTTATTTTATCCTTTTTGTTCACTTGATTTTCACAAGAAAAATCCAATAGAACATGGTTATGCACACAAACATAGTTTATTCAAAATTAGAGACAAGAACGAAAAAATAAATAAATTGTGCATTGTTGGTATTTTGGATTGAAGTTACCTTACAACTAATTGAAAGGATATAAACACAACTAAAACCCATTAAAAGTACTCCACTTGATACATTAACAAGAAATGTACTAAGCAAACTAAAAGACCCGTGTGTGTAAATGGATTTTAAAGAAACAGTTACTGTGAGTAACGTTTTAGCTATAAAACGTGCCTTCGAGTAACAAATTATAAAACGTATTTGACAATAACATATTATGCTTAAAACGTTACCCCTAGTAACGTTTCTTTATTTAACGCCGTCAGTCCATATATTTTACACGTCTAAATTTTTTAAAATAAAATATAGCCTAAAACGTTACTCAGGAATACGTTTATACATACTAGTTCTGTAAATTTTCAAAAAAACATATTACTTTGGTGAATTGATTTAAATAATGGCTTACTTTTGTCAAAAATTCGCTTTCTCTACGTCTCAAGATACACATGTTTAAGTATTTGGCCTTGTGTTTGTTACCAAATTCAACTTTTAACAAAAGAATGAGAGTTTGTTCCAATGAAAATATCAAGCTCAATTTTATTAAAATAGTAAAAGTTATGATATTCACCTGTTGTCCATCAACTCTGTCTTTCAGCATGATCTTAGGTCCATTAGTCCATTTTCGTTCCAGAGAAAATTAAAAAATGAAGGTTACTTTTTAAAATTTTCATAGTAAATTCAGATATATATAGACTTCTTTTACTTATCTTGAAAGAAAATTTACACAACTAAAAAGTTCCACAAACGTACTCTTCAAATGAAAATTACTACGTATATGTATGTTTACAAGTGATGGAAGGGACGATAAATAAGATAGCATAGAAAGATTCAAATGAAAGAAACAACGTAACACAAAGTCCCACCACTTGTAATAACACATACATTTTGTTTGAATGTCACGAAAAAATATCTTTGTTTTGCTCTCTTCACACACACCACAACTTGACAGAAACAAGTGATGGAAGACAGTGAAGGAGTCAAGACATGGCAGGTTCTTCATAGGCTAACAAACAAACTCAGTGTAATTGATTACCACCAGTGGGGCCTGACCGTCTTGGGAGGATAGTCTGTATGCAAACCTTACCACTACCTTGAAGGTAGAGAGGTTATTTTCGATAGATTCTCGGCCCAAAGAAAAATGAAAAGAATGCAGTAATATAAGCAGAAAAAACGACAAGATAATACAGTAATTGAGGCTAAAGAAACAACAGGCAGTAATAAAAATCTAAGATGAAACAACAGAAACTATGAAAATAAAGCTTGTATTTGGAGACTTAAAGACATTAATCATTTACTAAAGGTATGAGTAAATAAGAAGTTTAACATGTACTAATAATTAGAACATATTACAGCAATGCTAATAAGTACCTTATTTATAGACAATAATAGATGTTCCCTTATTTATGTTATGGTAAATACTAGTAATATCTTTTGCAGCCTCTTCAAATTTTTAAAAAGAAATCCATACTTTGTTGCCTTATTTATAGTTAAGCTAAATGTTAATAAAAAAAAATTTACAGCCTCTTCAGAATTTGTAGACACTCACAATGTTTTTGGTTGCCTTAATTATGTTATATCAAATGCTGATAATATCATTTACAATCTTTTAAAATTTGAACACGGTCAGAACTTATGGCATTGTAGCTGTTTTTGGTCCTCTATTTTCCTTCATTAATCCAACATATTTTTAGTCATTAACAATCCTGCCCCCACACAACAGGTTTTGGTTCCCTCAACAACCCTGCCCGCACACAACTTTGCCTTTCTATTACAAAACTAAAAAAGAGAAGAAAATTTCTATGTATTAGTACTTAGAGTTCATGTAGTTATTTGATAACACGGCCAATTGTGAAAACACATGCATTTTGTCTGATACCTTAATATAGACAATCATGAGTCTGCAGAAAAATATCTTCAAACTCTGTAACTACAGATTTTTAAGTTCCTGAACTTAAAGTCGAGTGTTCTATGTTTGTGTTATGTAAAAGAGTTGAGTGAAACACAATGTTTTTAGTGAGTGCACATATCGTCTGATTGAATGATCTAAAGACTCAACTTTTGTGTCTGATTTTTATTTTCTTTTGTTTTGCTGGTTTGGGTCAATGAACAGATTGGGCCTTGAGTGTTTTGTGCTTTGGGCTGTTACACTTCAAGAGGCCCAAATCTTCTCTAAGCTATATATCAAATCTCCTTCGTAATTTAGCACTGTTTCATTGCCTTTCATTTATGTTATTTGCATCATAAAGGAGGTTGAATAGAACTTAATGTATCAGAAATAATCTACAACCCTTTTCTTAGAAGTTAGCTCAATGGTAAAAGTTTCAATAGTCATGTTATGATTTCTTCCCTAGCTTTGAATGGAAGAGAGAAGCACGCATTAATGATGTATGAGAAGATGAGGGCAAAGGGGCTGCAACCAAATGAGATTACCTTTGTGTCTGTTCTATCAGCTTGCGAGTATTCCAAGCTTGTCGATTTCAGTTTTGTATTGTTTGAAGCAATGTCTCATGAATTTTGACTTGTAGCTAAGATGGAACATTATCTTGTTGATTTCCGTTGTGTGGTTGATCTCTTAGGGAGAGCTGGGCTACTACAGGAAGCGTACGACTTCATAAAGAAGATGCCTTTTGAAGCTGATGCCACTGTCTTGGGGGCTCTGATGGGTGCTTGTAGACTTCATGGAGCTATTGAATTGGGAAATGAATGTAACATCTCGCAACTAGAGAGAACTAGAAAGAAGTTTAAAATCTGGAAATAGTTATTTTTGGAAAGTATAAGGAAATCTGGAAAATTGTAAGCAAGTTAAAGTTGAGTTTTTGGTCAACTTCAAATGACCATAACTCCTAGCTCAAGATGAGTTAGGTGAAATTCCAGATATGTTTGGAAATATCTTGGAATTATCTTTCCAACGCCGCCAAGTTTATGCGATTCTGAGTTCGTATGAGTAAGATATACCCTTGGAAGTTGGGCTGTTGGATTAAGGAAATGTCCAATCCGAATTTTGAAAGGGTAGTTTGGTCTTTTCCTTACCCTTTTATTTTAATTCGTTTTTGGTAATTACTTAAGGGTCTAAGCTGAATTAGATCAGTTTACACTTTTACCAAAAGAGTTAAGGTTTTGAGAGAAGAGAAATCAAGAATCGCCAAGATTGTCAAAATTTAACTTCTGGAATTCGTCGGGGGTGATCCCTACAAGGTATGTGAGATCACATAGCGTTGGGTTAGTTCACCCACACGCCAAACATGATTCAATTCAGCGAATTTAAGTCTTTGAATGATTAGAAATTGAGTTCTTGATGAACATTGCTGAAAGTTTCGTTGAATTCTTGAGGGTTGTGTTGTTGAAGTTTCTTGATGATTTGATTCATGTTTCCTGGTGAAATTTCGTGTTGAATCTATTGTATATTGAGGGTGCTAATGATTCTAAGTGTTTGGGAAAAGAACCATTGAACTTTAGAGGGTTTAGAGATGAAAAATGAAGGAGAAAAATCGGAGTTTTCTGGGCAAGGGCTTGGGGCACCGCTCCTGCCAGAGCGCCACAAAAGTTCCTCTGAACTTTGGCCTCTGGCGCGTCGCGCCAGCCAGAGCGCCACAGAAAGTTCTCTAAACTTTAAGGGCTGGCGCCCCGCGCCTCACAAAGTGCTAGGGACGCCAGTTCTCCCCATTCGTTCCCCACCTTTTAGTACATGTTCCTTAGTGATGTACCTACGTTTTCTAGTTGATTCCAACACTCTAAGGTACATCTAAACATCATGAAATCATCCATAAACATGAGATCATGAACCTTGAATCCATACTCCAATTCAAGGAAAGTTAAGATCAAAGTGAAGAGAAATAAGAGTCAAGTCAAGATAAGTTCTTGGAGTATTCCAAAAGTCTTTTCCAAATGTTTTAACTTTGTTTTAAGACTTAAAGTTCAAGTTGAGTAAAGAGTAAAGAGTAAAGTTTGAAGTTCATTTCTTCAAAAGTATATGGGGACTATGTATTCCCAAAAGGGTTTTAAATGTTTGCACATTTAAACAAGAGATTTCCAAAGAGCCTTCGGGCAAGTTTTCAGAAAAAGTTATAGCTTTCTAAATGAAGCAAGAAGGGAAACTGAGATTTCCAAGATAGCCGTTGAGCTAAGTTTTTGAGCACTAATTTCAAACCACAGAAGAAGTATGTTTTTAAAACATAAGAGCCCGTATATTTTGGGAGTAGTATTGAGCAACGAATTGGGGACGAGCATGAGTTCAAATAACTCACGTCACCATAAAACAATGTAGCTACCATGGGTAGAAAAGGGTCATACTTTTTAGATGAATCATTTTCGCAATGGACTAGTGGATCCATTAGGCAATTCAGGTCCTATACCTTTGGGCGGGTATAGGATGCGCTGACAGCGTGAGGTAGATCGTTGTATCATCACAATAACTTTTATGTGATGATTGTCGTTTAGAAAAACTCCCACAGAAGTATTGTATTTTTATACACATCAGTTTATTTGTATTTTTACATACATCTCAGAGTTATTTGTATCTTTGCATACACAAAGTTGATATCATGTTTTTAAACATCTTTTCTTTATATTGCACTTGCTTTTAAACTGCTTTATCTTGAAATGAGTTCAGTTAGGTTGAGTTGAGTTGAGCCAGGTAAGTTCTTCAATTTCTCTCAGATTCTTTCTAGCCTATGTTGTTTTAGCATTCCAATTCGCATACTCACATTCAATGTACTGATGCCAGTTGGCCTGCATCGTCTTATGATGTAGACATAGGTAACTAAGATCGGCATTTCAGCGCACCGTTGATCCAGTGAGCAGTTCACAGTCAGCCAGTGAGCCTCCTTGCATTCCGAAGGATCTATTTTCATTGTTTTCTAGTTTAGTGCATTAGGATATTGTGGGGTCTATCCCAACATCCATCTCGGTTGTTTTAGAGGCATCATAGACAGTTAGATGTTAGTCCTTTGAGTCTTTTCAGTATCATTTCTTATTGTTAAGACTTGGATGCCACTTTTGGCCAAGTTGAATGTTTAACTTTTAATATTCTTAGTTATCTTATTATTCAGTTCAGTTAAGTGTTATTGATCATTATAAGTATGAATATTGTCTTCCACTGAGTTAAGTAAGCCAAACCAAGGGTTTGCTTGGGGCCAGCAATGGTCTTCGAGTGCCAGTCCCGCCCAGGGTGTGTAGGCTCGAGGCGTGACAATAAAGTATCACAACTACTGCTTGAGTCGCAACCGAATCATTTGTGCTGGCGCAGAGAGGTGGGATTATGCTGCTGCCTTGAGAAAAGCAATGTTAGATGCTGGAATACACAAGGTTTCAGCCCACAGTTTTATTTAGTGGAGATGTTAACTGCAGCATCAGCTAAGTCATAGCTTGATAGATACATTTTTGTGAAATCTCGACTCATCAAAATCAGTTAAAAGGATGCTGCATATGGATTTTGCAGAGAGATTAAAGCACTGCTTAAAGAAAGCTGTAGTGATATCCTTTTGTTTGGCGAGGTATTTCCTATTGTTTTCTACTTTTGTTTTATGAATCTTTTTCTTTGCCCCGAAACATTGAAATTATGCAGCAGCTTGCTAATTAATTAATCTGAACAATAGTTGATCACGATAAAGCTCACCTATAGTCAAGCGCTTCTGCTTGATTTCTTCCTAAATGAAGTTTGAAATCCTTATGGATTTCGATCACTAGAAATTCTATCACTCAGTTATGTGTTTATGTCTAATCTTATTTTGGGGTTTGAACATTATTGCAGGTCTCTATGCAAGTTATTTTTTAGGGCTGAGGCGTAGTTTGTTGTTGTGTAACAGTGATGCTTGGGTCAACTTGTGTTCTATTCAATTAATTCAACTGGTACCATCTACCTTCCACCAATAGAGATATCGGGTAACTCTGTCATCCGAGACTTAGATGGGAAGAGTTGAAGGTTCTTTCTTCAGCTCTTCAAAGAATGTAGATTCCAGTTGAAAACACATGATGTTGTCTATGTAAGGCTCAGGCAGTAGAGAATAATGCGAATATTTTTCCTAATGTTTATTATCTTTTGATGAAGGACCTGTTGAATATTATTGGTTTGGAGACGACGGACACAATCAATTTCTCACAACTTGAATTTTATTATATCAAAGCAAGGACCCGCTTCGGTCTTACAATCTTGATCACACTTGTTGCTTGCTTCAGCAACACTCTTAACTTAGCACTCACTCTTGTTTTCTCTCTTACTTTCTTTCTTGCTTTCTTACTTTGTTTCTTGCTTTCTTTCTTGATTGCTTACAACTCAAATGGACCACCTCTATTTATAGGTGGTGATGGAAGAATCTAGCTAAGGGTTTTGCTACTACATTCTAGAATGTTCTTCTAACTTCCTATTTCTAGAACTATCTTATCTAGGACAACTCTAGACTTTTCTCTCTAGAATACTCATTCTAGAGCTCTTCCTTTATTTCTTTATAACTCTTGAATATTCTAGATTCTTCTTTGAAATGTCTTGGAGATTAATTAAGTTGGTGGTGATTTCTTAACAGGACCATCATGAGTCTGAAAAGAAATATTTTCAAACTCTGTAAATACAGATTTTTATGTTTCCGAACTTAAAGTCGAGTGTTCTATGTTTGTGTTATGATGTTATGTGAAAGAGTTGAGTGAAATACTATGTTTTTAGTGATGGCACATATCTACATGCCATAGACAAATGAAAGCAAACTCTGATTTGAGTCTCAAAGGAAGAAAAGTCATGTGTTTATTCATAGGATAACAAACACTTCACACTAATATCTTTTCTTGTGCCTTTTCATTCTCGTAGTAATTCTGTGTTCCAATTGCACAACCAACCTCAAAAACCATGTTGGATATTGAGTTGACAACATTATGTATATTATGGACAGTCCAATAACTAGACCACAACCGTAACCCATGAGAACCGCTTGCCAACTGATCATTGGTGAATCTTCATCTTCTTCTTCTTCTTCTTCTAGATCTAGCTCAGCTGGAGTTGTCGCTTGATCATCACTGCTACAATGTTATGAGAGTGGCAATCCACGTAACCCATCATTCCCTTGGTATGAACTATTCTCAAACGTATCAAATTGTTTTCCTTTGGGGATGCATCCAACAAGATGATTGTGAGAGAGATTTAAGACTTCAAGTGACGTGAGGGACACAAGTTGTTGCGGAATTTCTCCGCTGATTTTGTTAGATGAGAGATCCAATGATTCGAGTACAGATAAATGTTTCAGTGATTCTGGTATGTGACCTTCCAAGACATTATGAGATAAGTTCAACGTACGAAGTCCAACAAGATCTCCAATAATGTTTGGAATACGACCTTCAAATCTATTCATTGAGAGATCGATAATTATTTGTGTAGTCAAAACTTGAGGAAGTTCATAATCCAGTCCCTTTGTTGTCACTATCAAAGAATTTTTGTAATAATTAGAATATATATCTGCTACATACTTTCGGGTTCCACTGTTCTCACCATTTTTTTTCATGGCTTGAAAATTCTGAAACAAGCTCAATGGTAACTCTCCACTAAATCCGTTGGATGAGAGATCTATGACTCGAATTTGAGCAAACAAGTGGTCAGTCCTTATAGGGCCATAGAACTTATTTGATCTCAAATTTAAGACCTGTAAATGAGGTAGGTCTCCCAACCATTTTGGAAACGTGTCATTCAACTCATTGTTACTTAAATCTAGAAATTCCAAATTTTCACAATTGATCAAAGATGGTGGAACTTTCCCCTGTAGCTTATTGCCATCCAATTTAATGATCTTGAATTGGTTTCTAATACTAAAAGTTGTATTAATTGTCCCACTAAGACCATTGTTGCTTAAATCCAAAATCCAAACTGTACTCATCTCACCCAAACATTGTGGGATTGTTTCCTCCAAATTATTACTTTTCAAATATAGTAGAAACAATGTTTTCAGATTGCAGATAGCTGAAGAAATATGTCCACTGATATTATTGTGTGAAAGGAGAAGAAATCGTAGGCTCTGCTGGTTTAGGAGTGACTTTGGAATAGGACCTTCCAGCTTATTTTCTTTTAGAGCAACAGCATATAATGTTTTGGACTTGAACTCCTGAATTTTTCCACTGAAAGTGTTATTGCTCAAGTCTAACACTATCAGTGAAGGAAGGGAGAATATCCAGGAAGGTATAGTCCCATTCAAGTGGTTTGACGACAAGTAGAGCTGTTTTAGGTTTTGTAGTCCACTTACGTTGGATGGAATTGGACCAGTTAGGGAATTGGATGAAAAATCTAGCATTTCAATTAGTTGGGTCCAACTTCTGTTAAAGGATAAGAACTCAAGTCGTCCATCAAAGCTGTTATTTCGAAGTGATAAGTACTTGAGCTTTTCAAATATCGAGAACTGGGAAATTGGTACTTCAAGATGGTTATCATCAAGGAACAAACTCTCTATGTTGGTGAGATTCCATAGAGGTTTAAGAATGGGCCCTGACAGATTAGAAGAACTCATGTCCAACTCATGTAGTGCAGTTAGATGGCGAAATGATTCAGGTATCCTACCAGTAAAATTCACATAACCGAGATATAACTTCATGAGTGATGCACTGCTATTCCATTTGGTTGTGGGTAACCTAACAGTGAGCTGGAGATTGGATGACAAATCAAGAAATTCTAAATCGGAAAGGTGGAAAACTCTTACAGGCAATAGCCCACGTAACTGTGTGTCTGAAAGTTGTAGAGTTGTTAAATGAGAAGAGAAATTTGAAGGAATAGTGGAAGAGATGTTCACAGAGTCAAGGTTGAGCTCTCTTAATTGGGTCAAGTTCTTAAGGAGCAGTTCAAAGTTGTGAGGCCCAAGTCTAAGCTCATTTAGACCACTGAATCGAAGAACTTGTAGTTTAAAAAGGTGAGAGATTTCAGAAGGGATTAGACCCAAAAAATTAGAATCCGACAAATCAAGATGCGTTAAACTTGAAAACTCACCAAATTTAGGTGAAATGAGTGATCCAGTGAAATCATTATAAGACAAATTAAGCATTTTTAGATTGAAGAGTTGAAAGAGGCTACTGTTGGAATGAAACTTGCCTTGAAGTTGGCTGCAACCGAGATCAAGCTCAATAACTTGTCCTGTCGTCTCGTCACAATGAACTCCATCCCATGAGCAACAATCTGTGCTCTTGTTCCAGGAAAGAGTTGTTGGATATGATGACTGCATCCTTTGGTTTGTATAGTCGTAACAATAATCAGAAGCATTAGGATTAATGGTAAGCATGTGCTTGAATTGTAGAAGAGCAAGAGCTTGATCTTCGGGGCACAAATGAGGTGAGGATGAGGAGAAAGCAAGCTGACCGAGAAAGGCATATAGCATAAAAAATACAAGTTTTACATAACCCATTTCTGCACTAAAATGATCAAAGCTAATTAAGCTGGTGGAGAAGAAATCAAGAAATGTTCGCTTTGCGTGTCTACTCAATAATTTTGATGAGGTATATATAGCACAAATTAAACAAAGAAAAACTTACTAATAGTTACCTAGTCATTTTCTGTCAATTCAAAGTTGTCAATCATATATGCACATTTACTGTGTCATACAAATGAATGCAGGAAACTATCAATAGTTCACATTCTCTATTCAAATGAAAGTAACAACACAATGTCCCCACCACTTGTATATAACACATTACACATGCATTTTGTGTGATACCTTATTATAGACAACTTAATTGGATTCCAGGAATAGGTCCACCACACAACTTAATTCCAAGAGTATTTCTTGGTGTATCGACTTTGAAAGAAACATAACAACTTTATATCTTAGGAATAGGACAGTCACTTTGCTAATGCATTAAGGTTACACTGGAAATCTACTCTGAATGCAGCGCCTTACATAGTGCGCCAGCTCCAGCCAATTTTCCACAAGAATCGACCTGCTAATGGAAGACACTGCAGGAGTCCATTAAGTCCAACTCGATTAAACATTCTTTTCTATCTTCGTGGAACTTATAGGTGAGTGTGAGCCTGTTATTCTTGTCTTCTCGGAGAGCAGAACGGAAGAAACACGTTGTTATAGTCCTCAAAGTTTAGTGATGGAAGGGGCGATATCCAGGATGGCATATATCGTTCGAGTCAAGTATTTTGATCACAATATGAGAAACTGTAAACTAATTGATCTGAAGATTCAAATTCTGTCCAATATCTGTTTTAGGCCGAATTTATTTCCACACAAATGAAAACAAATTTTTGTTTAGTCACAAAGTTAGAAAACTCATGACTCTAACAAACACTTCATGAAACTAACAACAGCATACTCAATGTAGTCCCACTGGTGGGATCTGACTGTCTTGGGAGGATAGTATGTACACATACCTTATTTGTACCTTGAAGGTAGAGATGTTGTTTCTGATAGATTATCAGTTCAAAAGAAAGATATGGCAGTAGCAACAAGAAGAAAATACAACAAGATAATATAAAAATCGAGGCTAATGAAACAACATGTAGTAATAAAAATCTAAGATGAAAATTAAACTTGTGATTTTGGAGAGAAAAAACTTGCTTTTGAAGGCCAAATATTTGTATCCTAGAGACTAATAGACATTAATCAGAAGCAAATATACTCCCCATACTCCCATGTGCAAAGTTTAGTTTAGGCAAATAATTTTTATGACTTTACTGTTACCGCGGATAAAGTTCAGTGACCATTCTTGAAATAGATCTTATTTGTGTAAATATATTGTTTTCAAATACATCAATTTTTAATCAAAAAATATAAAGAATTTGATGACCATATTGACCTTATTAGCAAGAAAAAATGTTCTCTGTTTTCCTTATGAGTTACTATTACTTTCAAGATCGCACAAATCTGTTACATAAATGCACCAAAACAAAGCAAGACACTCAGAAATAAATCAAATTTCAAAGATCTTAAGCCTAAATCAATAGTGGAAATACGAAGGTCCTCATTTTAATTTTAACTTCAAACAATAAACTTTTGTTTTCTTCTTAAACAAAATTTTATATAATTAAAACATCACA